AAAGTAGTTTCCTTTTTTAAATTATATAACTTTAATAACTTAGAATTAAGGAATTACTATTTATTTTTTATTAGTTTTTTTTTAAGCTTTTTCTTATTTAAACAAGCCTTTAACAAGTGGCTTAATTTACTATAATTAAAATAAAAACCCTTTTTTTTATAACACTTTTTTTTTTAAAAAAAATAAGTTACTACTTTTTTTCTTGCCTTTTTTTTTTCTCTTTTTTAAAAAAGCTACTTTATTACTATTTTAGTTCCATCCTAAGTTATTCTTATTTTTTTTATTTTTAAAGTTAAAACTAGCTTTAAACTTTTTTTTTTCTTAGCCTTTAAGGCCTTATTACACTTATTAATAAATTTTATATAAATTATTACTATATTTACTTTAATTATTATTTTTAAGGGTTTTTTTAACTTTTTTAAGTATAAGTAAATATTTTTATTATAGGTTTTAGTAAGTACTTATGCCTTAAACTTTAAATTATTAAAATATAGGCCTAACTTTATAAAATAAAGTCCCTAAAAAGTGGTATTTTAAATACTTTATTATTTAATTAAAAAATACTAGGTAGCATGGTAACCCTAGTTTATAACTAGGTTAACCTATATATATATAAATTTTTTAAAATTTGCCTAGGTTTACTTATTATTTTAAAATTTAATTTAACCTTTTTAATAATTACAGGCATTTCTTAAAGTATTTTAAATAATAAATATAATTTTTTTATTATTTATTTAAAACCTTTTAGGGGTGTTATAAAAGTAATTTTCTAAATTTTTAAATTAAATTTTAAGGTTTATTATATTTTTTTTTAACTTTTTAACTTTTTTAAACTTAATCTTAGGCTTTTAAAAAGCCTTTTTTTTTAGTAAAGCTTATAATTTTTAATAGCCTTTTAGTACCTTTTTTATATATATCCAGAACTTTTAAACCCCTTAAAATTAGCTTTATTAATATTAGGTTTTAAAGGCGGAGTGGTTTTAGAATAATAACTTAAGTTATTTAAGCTTAATTTTAAACTAAAATTAAAAAAATTACTAAAATTAATTTTTTTTTAAAACTTACTAAAAATATTAACAAAAAGATTAACACGGGGATTAATAAAAAAATTAATATAAAAATTAATAATTTAATACTATTTTAGCTTTGGGTTGCAGGGGTAACTTTTTTTTATTTTTTTTTAAAAAAATATCCTAATTTTAACACGCGATATTAATTATATTAAAATTAAAAAATAAATAAGCTAGGAGTTATAGTCCTAGGCCACTTTTCTTTTAAAATATTTTTAGTTATAATAAATTTTAAATTAATAAGTTTTAGTAATAATATAAAATAACAAGGTAAAGGGTATATTTTACCCTATACTTTATTAAGCTAGTAAACTAAATTATTTAAGTTAGATTTTTTTTTTAATTATTTTTAATAGTAATAAAATCCTTAAGCATAAATAAAAAAGGGAACACTTTTTTAGCTATTTAAGTTTAAGTTTTAAAAACCTTAATTAAAACGCCTGCGGACTACCTTTACTTACCCTTTAAAAATTTAGTTTAAAATATTATTATTAAAAAAGTTTAAAAAGTAATAAGTGCAAGCAACTTTAATTATAAAACTAATAAGTTTTAAAAATCTTTACTAATAATAAAAATATTAATAAAAAATTTAATTAATAAAAATAAAGTATTTTAAACCCTGTTAAATAATATTAAAAAAGTTACTTAAAAATTTAAAAAAAAAGGCTAGCTTTAAGGCTATTTTTATAAACCTTTAAGCTACGCTTAAGCTATTTTTAATTAAAAAGTAAATATAAGTTTAAATACTTTATATATAAATTTTTACTTTAGCTTATACTTAAGGCCTACCCTAGCCTTGCCTAACTAGTAGCTAAAACCTTAAATATTAATAACTTAGTTAAATTATATAACCTAATATAATAATAAAATATACCAAGCCTTGGTAGCCTAAGGCCAAAGCTTAGGTTACCTAAGGCGCTAACTCTAGACTAATAGTAAATTAGCTCTGGTAATATTAAATAGAAAAATGTTGGCCCTGACATTTAGCTATAAAAAATATAATAAGATTAGCTACTAGTACACTATTATAATAAATATATATATTATAAATAAATATTAATTTTTTTATTTTTTAAGTAAATAAAGCCACCATATCTTAAATTTAGAATAATATTTAGGTTAAAAATGCTTATAAGCTATTTTACACTAAAAATAGTAAAGTATTATTTTAATTCCTATTTCTTTTAATTTTTTACTAATTTTTAAAAAAGGCGGGTTTAATATAGGCAGTATAGTAAAAAACATAATTTTTAAATAACTTAATAATATAAACACTTTTTTAACAAGTGTTTAAAGCGCCCTTAATATTCTTAAAATAATTAGTTAACTTTTAATTAAAATAGTGCTATATAATAAAAAGATTAAGAATTTTTTTATATAGCTATTTATACTAGTAGCCTTTTTTTTATATATAAAACTTTTAAACTTTAAAGTTTACTTAAAAGGTATAATATTACCCCTTTTACACGCTAGGCCTTATTAAACAAATTACTTAATAAGTATTATAATTAGTATAAGGTAAATATAAATTAATAGCTAAAGGATATTAAGTTTCTTAATATTACTATTAATAAAATTATTAATTAATTTTTAAAGCATGTTATAAGCTTGTTATTTAACACCTTAACATGTAGCTTTTTTTATACCCTTAAAAAATTAAAGTTAAAGCCTTTAGTATAAAAAAAATTATAAAATAAATTTATTAAACTTTTAAGAATTATCTTATAAATAAAAAAAAAATATAATTTTAATATAAATATTAACTACTAGTGCTTTAATTTTATTTTTATTAATACTTATAATATTATAAAAATAGTTTGGAATATACTACAGGCTAAGGTTAAGTATTTTTATATTTTTTTATTAGCTATAATTTTTATAGCCTTTAGCTACTTATAAAGAATCTTTTTTTCTTTAATAAAATTAAAAAGGTTTTTAAAAACGCTATATTAATTATTTTTTACTTTAAAAATGCTTTAAAGTAATTAGCCTAGATTTATTATTACTAAAAAAAAAAAAGGCAAGGTAAAAACTCTTATTACCTTAGTAATTACTTGCTAGGAAACTTAGTTTAATACTTTAAAATTTATATAAAGATTTAGTATTACTTTTTACTAGTAAACTTTAATTTTTAAAGTTATAAAGGCTTTAAAATTTAATAATAAAAAAATAGCTACTATAAGTAGTATTACTATAATTATTAACTTTTTTAAGTTTTAAATAAATTTAAAAAATTTTTTTTATTTTTTGGAGCTAATTTACTAACTATAAATTAAATTTAAAAATTAAAAGGCTAATATTATAACTATAAGTACTTTATTTTTTTAATTATATAATTACTAACTTTTTAAATTATAAAATATTAGCTATAAATCCGCTTAATCCTTTTTAAAAGCATTAAAAAAATATTATATAAAGCTAATTTTTAAAAGTATCTTGCAAAGGCTCTATACACTAGCTTTAAAAAATATTTTAATAAGTAGGTAATACCTTTTTATTAGGCTACTTACTATCTTAACCCCTGTAATATTTTTGCTTTATTAAATAAGCTAATAGCTAATATAATTAAAAAGATATTTTTTATATTTATTACTAAAAAAGCTTATAATAAGTTTATTTTATATTAAGTAAAAAAGGCGTAGTTTTTTCTTATAAATTTTTAAAAAACTAAGGACCCTTTAGTATTTTAGGCATAGTTTATAAGTTTTTTTAACTAAATATTTTTTAAAAAGCCTTTTAAATAGCTTTAAAACTAATTATTTTAACCTTTTAGTATAATACTACTTTATTTTTTTCCTACCTTGCTATTTAACTTGTTTATATAACTATTAATTTAGTTTTTATTAAGCAAGCCTTTTCCGCCATAAATAATACTAAAAATAAGTAAAAATCTTATTTTTAGGTTAAAAAAATAAACAAGCTAGTATATTTTTATATAAACACAAGAGCTTTAAATTTTATACCTATACCTTTACTTATAAATAACTATATAAGCCATAATACCAAGTATAAATTTACTTAGCTAATAAAAAAAAAAATAGCTTGCAACTGGCTATTTTATAAAAATTTTTAAATTAAAAGGCTACTAAGTAATAAAAATATAATTATTTTTAAAAAAAAGGTTATTACCAAGCGCAAGAAAAAAACACTATTTATAGTACCTTAAGTGGTTAAAAGACCCCGGCCTTTAGCTACTAATACTATGTGTAAGGCTAATAGCTTTAACTAACTACTAAAGCGCTTTAAAAGCGTTATAGTAATTACTTTAAAAGCGCTGTAGTAATTACTTTAAAAGCGCTGTAAAAAGTGCTTTAAAAGCGCTATAAAAAGTGCTTTAAAAGCGCTGTAAAAAGCGCTTTAAAAGCGCACCTAAAAGTTCTTAATTTTATATTAAATTTATATATAAACCAAAACTTTAAAAGGCGCTTTTAAAGGCGCTTTAAAAGCATTTTAAAAAGCGCTTTTAAAGCGCTTTAATAGCACACCTAAAAATTATTAATTTTATATATAAATTAAAAAGTTTTCATAATTTACATATGCGCCTTTTATATTAAAACTAGTTTTTATATACAGCCCACCTACTATACCCTATATAAAAGGTAAGCGCCGATCAAACATTTACAACCTTAAAATATTTATTATGTTAACATTTAAGGCGGCGAATATCAACATGACATTTGTCATCTTACATCCCTAGCCTCTCGGATGGATTTTCGCCCGTCTGTATACTCGAGTCACTCGCTGTAGATGGCCTATAGGATCTTTCTTCAGTTCCGAAGATGTGAGATAGCGCATCTAGTATCGTATGGGGCTCATATCAATCAAATGGGTGACTCACCTCGAGGCCTGATCCATTGATTCTGGTGATATAACTGTCTCGATCTCCAAGCTCACAAGTCAGGACCATACAAATAACAATTTATCTTGACGATGGGCAAGACACTCGTTTACCCCAAGCAGGTCTCAAACACAGTCAACCGCCTGAAGGACAGAGGTATGGCCGACATATCATGAGCACTCTCCGTCTGATCCTGACACTCCATAGCGACGTACGATCTCGGCGCAATCCACTCCATCATAAACTCCAGCCATGTACTCCATGTCTCGTTCAACCCAGCGCCCTCTGACCCCTTTCCCGCCATTCTGCCCATGATAGGACAGATGGGGTCTTTCGACTATCCGTCCGCCAGCATCGACGAGCCTTTGGACTGCTACCTTCACGGTTATGTCAGTTCGCGCATCATGAACCTGGCACGTGCCTCCGAGGGCGAAGGTCTACCCATCTGTGTGGCCGCCAGCAAAATGGACGGACTGATCTTGTCGCTTACTCCACACAACCACAGTTACAACTACCGCTCTGCCATTCTCCACGGCTATGCTAAGCTTGTGACGGATGAGGCTGAGAAGCTGTGGGCGATGGAACTCATCACCAATTCTGTGCTGCCTGATCGCTGGAGGAATTCTCGTATTCCACCCGACAGGGTTGAGATGTCCTCGACTGTCATTCTCAAAGTCAGAGTCGTCGACGGATCCGGTAAGATTCGTGATGGTGGTGTTCACGATGATCAGAAGGACGCCGACAACGCGGAGGTTACAGAGCGTGTCTGGACCGGCGTCGTCCCCGTATACGAGACATTTGGAGAACCCATACCAAGTCCCACGAACAAGGTGAAAGAAGTACCGGAGTATGTCGGCTCGTATGTTGCGAAAATGAACGATCAGAACCGCGAGTATGCGACGTCGGCCGTGGAGGAAGAGCATTAAAAATCTACCACAGCAATTTTCTTGAACTTACTTTTGGGGCACTGAATAGTTTGACGATAATACTATTTCAACTTTCAACCTTGCGCTTTCTAATCAGTTGGTTCCGTATGGTGGTGAACGTTTCAGAAATATATAATTCCGGAAGGTGACAATGGGTACAGCTCTGAGCCCCCACGGGCGTCATCCTTATTAAAAAGGATTGTACATAGGATCACGGAACTAGTACTAGTTTATTGACAAGTATAAACTCCATGAAACAGACTTTAGGTTCTTCTGTCCACTTAATATACTTCGAGGTGTGGGTGCTTTCGATCTAGACCAACTCCGCAGTTGCCGCAGTAACCCCGGTCCGTAACCCCGCGTCAGAGCCTCTTACCTTTCTTTATCTTCCACTGCCATTGGCACCATCCCAAACCTGCTCCTAGCTGCCTGCTTACCTCAAAAAAGATTCCCAGACATATTCTCACGACCTACAATCACCCATCTCCCCACCAAAGCCAGGACGTCCTCAACAGCAACTATACTCACACAACCCCGCACTACCCCACCATCTCACCCCTCAAAGACCAAAGGCTGAAACCCCAAGGTCCTCCAAAATGGTCTCAAACGACATAAAATCCTTCCAAGAGTACCTAAAGGGAAGCAAGCGAATAATGGCGCTCCTGGGCGCTGGCCTCTCCGCATCCTCAGGCCTCCCCACATTCCGCGGCGCCGGCGGGCTCTGGCGCTCCTACGACGCAACGGAGCTCGCGACACCGGAAGCCTTCGAGGCGAACCCGGACCTGGTCTGGCAGTTCTACAGCTACAGACGGCATATGGCGCTGAAGGCGGAGCCGAATAAGGCGCATTATGCGCTTGCGGAGCTGGCGAGGCGGAATAAGGAGTTTGTTACGTTGAGTCAGAATGTTGATGGTTTGTCTATCTATGTTACGGGAACTTGGTTATGCTTGGAAGGTGAAGGGGTTGGTTGGGATTTTGCTAACGGGCTTTTTATTGAACTAGGGCTATCTCAACGAGCGGACCATCCACCCGAACAACTCCATCTTCTACACGGGAATCTGTACACGGTGAAATGTACGTCCTTCTACTGCAAGTATACGCGGGAAAACGACTTCACGGATCCAATTGTCCCCGCGCTCGCGATCCCAAAGAACTTCCCTGAACCACGCCCATCAACCCACAACAAAACCGGCGAGGAAGCGTCAAAGTCATTATCAAACGCCATGGAGCAACAACTAGAACAAGAAGGGAAGGAATTAGACATCTCCGACGCCCGCATCCCACTCCACCCCATAAACCACGAGGATCTGCCTCACTGCCCAGAATGCAAAGAGGGTCTCCTACGGCCAGGCGTCGTCTGGTTCGGCGAGCCGCTGCCGACCGACACACTGGATTACGTGGATGCTTGGATGGACCAGGGGAAGATCGACCTGATGCTGGTCATTGGGACGAGCTCCAGGGTCTTTCCTGCTGCTGCGTATGCTGAGAAGGCCAGGGGCAAGGGGGCGAGGTTGGCGGTGGTGAATATGGACCCGAATGATATGGGCAAGGGCAAGTTTACGTCGAAGGATTGGTTCTTCCAGGGTGATGCGGGGGTTATTGTACCGGAGATATTGAGGAGCGTTATTGGTGATATTTGACCTTATGTTTAGTGTAGAGGTTTGGGTGTTTGGACCGAAAAATAGCAATCTTTGGAATGGCGCCTATTGCTCGCGTCGGAGAAGGAAACACTCTCCAGGCCCACCCTTTACCGATAGTCAGTTCACTAACACAGTGCGAGCCATACTGACTGTAAGTATGATCACAATAGCGCATTTCTTGCGCAGACAGCAGGGCGGATGGGAGTGGCACAACCAGCCCTGGAGGATACGGATGCATAACGCACTGAGGTCTGCACTTCGAAACAACTTATGAGCATCAAGTACCAGAATGAACTATGACCAGCCTGAGTTTAGATAGTTCTTGACTCTTATTTTGCTCCCATACGGAGTACGCACCGTCGGAACTCGGAGATAGGGCGCGGCGAAAGCTGACACTCAGCGTTAGCGGCGCTCATGCACCGGCGGCCGAAGAGGCTGATGTCATATAAAGTCACGACATAAATAATGGCCAAGACCCGGACTTCTTACTACGTGACGGTAGGGGCAAAGACTCTTTTGGCTTCATCTGAACCCCACAGCGTTCTGAACCAACAGAGCGACTACGGCATTGGACGAGGAAGATCCTTAACCCAGGCACGGAAGCAACCTTGAACCAGGGACGAAATGACCCCCGCATATACCGAGAAAACAACAGCCTCCGAGCTGGTGGAGCTCCTCGCCGCCGAGATCAAAGGCAAGGTGATCCTGACCACCGGCCCATCACCAGCAAGCATCGGCGCAAGATTCGTCGAGACAATCGCGCGTGCTCAGCCAGCCCTAATTATCCTTGCCAGCCGGAACACGGCCAAGCTGCAGAAGACCGCGGATGCGATTGCACGAATCCAGTCAGACGTAGCTGTTCGACTTCTACAGCTGGACTTGGGCTCCCTCGGGCAGGGCCGCGGAGGAGTTGAAGAGCTGGGACGATGTCCCGCGAATCGATGTCCTCGTTAACAATGCAGGAATCATGGGCACGAAGTTCGCGCTCAGCCCCGATGGCTTCGAGAGTCAGTTTGCGACGAACCATCTGGGGCACTTCCTGTTCACGAATCTGATCATCGATAAGCTTTTGGTGTCGGAAGCGCCGCGCGTCGTTAGCGTGAGTAGTGATGGGCACCGGTTGAGTCCGATTCGTTGGGCGGATTATCACTTCCAGGTAAGCACCCTCTTCGACCGAGCTATAGAAAATTCGGGCGTTGACGGATTGTTAGAACGGAGAAACCTATAACAGGTGGACTGCATACGGACAGTCCAAGACAGCTAACATGCTGATGGCGCTCTCGTTGGCGGAGAAGCTGAGATCCAAGGGGCTTTTGGCGTACAGCTTGCACCCTGGCGTCATCATCACGACATCTCTTTCAGGTAGTCTTGACAACATGGATGAGGACTTCGCTGCGTTGAGTACGTATTGCATCCTGCCTTACTTCGCGAGTCCGTATACTGACTTGACGACATTAAAGGCGAGCTTGACCGGACGCTCGGAAACGCAGAGGGCTGGCGGGACTTTAAGATGAAGACGGATCAGCAGGGAGCAGCGACGACGGTCTATGCTGCGTTCGACCCTGGCCTTAAAGGTAGGAAGATGCGCATGAGAGCTGGAACGATGTGCTAACGAGCTCTGGTAGAGAACAACGGGGCGTATTTGCAGGACTGCCGTATTGCGGACCCGTGGACGGACACGGTCAAGCCATGGGGCACGAGCAAGGTGGAGGCTGAGAGGTTGTGGAAGCTGAGCGAGAAGTTAGTTGAGCAGGAGTTCAATTATTAGATTGATTGAGTTTATTCACTAGAACATTTAGTTTGGTTCGAGAAAACGGTGGCTTTGGCGGTGTTCATAGACAGTAGAATGATTTGGTTTTGAACGCGTTTGGCGCGGAGAAGAATAGGTACGACAAAGTTCACAGGTAGTTTATGAGGCCCTTTGTATACCGTACTAACTAGTAAAGCAATTAATTAAATACTATAAAAGAAAATAAAAAAAAAGTAAGTTATTTATTAAAAGCTAGAGCTACCTAGGGGTTTATATAAATATTTTAAGCCTTTAAAAACTTATTAATAGCCTAATTTTTTTATTAAAATAATAAAATATTAAGTATCTTACTTTTTTATACTAACGCGGTATATAAAGGTGTTAATAAATAAAAACTTTATTAAACTTTATTTTTAGCTAAGACACCCCCTTAATACTTATTAAATATTAAAAATAAGGCTAGAGATATTTACTAAACCAAGTATTTTAATAAATTTATAGTATTATTATTTAATAAGTGGCTTAATAAGGTTATTTATAATTATTTAATTAGTAGGAGTTTATTTAATGTGGCGGCACTACAAACCACATCCTAGAGTACAGGTTCTGCCCTGTACTACTACCCCAGGCACGTGATTATAGTTACTTTAGCCACTCCACGGCTTAGCCAAGAATTTAAAACTTTTTATATTTATATATAATATATATTTACTATTATAAATAGTAGCATGTTATAATATAACAAGGTCTTAATTTTTTTTTAATAAAGTTAGGAAATTACTTTAACTAGCTATTAAAAAGTATTTTTAGTAATTAATATTATTTATTATTATTAAGTAATTATTTTTAATAAAAAGTATTTACCACTACAGACTCCTAAATTATAACTAAAAAACTATAAATACTTTTTTTTTACTTTTTACTATTTTTTATATATCTTATAAACGCTGTTTTTTATATATCTTATAAATTTTCTTGTATTTCCTGTTTTTATTTTTTATAACTAACTAAGGGTTAGCTTTTTTTATAAAGTAATTATATTATATTATAACACGCGCTTATTAAAAATAATATATAATTATATAGTTTATTTTATAGTTATAAAGGTAATAAAGTAAGGTAATTTAAAAAATAAAACTTAAAATTTTAAGACTACCTATAATATTAAAGCTTAAAAATAAAAATAAAAGTATTATTATATATATAACTAAGCTAGTTAAGTTTGCTGCTTAGCTAAAAAGATTTATTAAAATAAAATATAAATAAGCTAAAAACATAGTAGCGCCTATATATAAAAAAATTAATTTTTTAATAAGTTTTATAGCCTTACTAAAATAAGTTATAAAAAATAATACTTAAAAATAATAAGCCCCGCCTTTATTTTTTTTATTAAACTAGGTAATTAAAAATACTAAAATATTTAATATAGCTATAAAATTCTTTATAAAAAAATTTAAATAAGTTTTATATAACCCCTGCTTTATTTTACTAATAAAAAATAAAAAAGCTATTTTACCCGCTCCTAACCTATAATTTACTTTAATTTTAATTACTTAAAAAGTAATAATAGCGCTAGTAATTATTAAATAAGTAATTACTAAATTAAATATATTATTAATTTTTAAATTATTATATATATTACTACTACCTTTACTAGCTCTACCTAGTTTAAAATAATATTATATTTTATTAAAAGGCCCTATACCTTTATTAATATAAAGTTATTTTTTATTTATTTTTTTACCCTTTTTAAGTACAAGCTTACTGGCGGAATAATAAGTAAAACTAAAAAAGTTAAATAAAGTATTATATTATTTAAAATAATTAAATTATAACTCTAACTAACCCGTTAACCTACCTTATAAATAAAAAAAACCAGGATTTTTAAAACTATAAGCTAAATAATAAACTAAAACCCTGCTTTTTAAAATACTAAATATTATTTATTTTTAATTAATTAAGTAACTAAAACCTCTAGAACTAAAAACTAAATAATAAACTAAAAGTTTACTTTTTAAAACACTAAATAACATTTTTTTTTATTTTTAACTAGTTAATTTATATATAAGATTTAAATTAAACTTTATCCTACCTATATAATTTTAATACCCCCCTTTTTAATTTAGGCCTTTAATAAATCCACCTGCAGTACCTACACCTGCAGGGCCTTTTACTTATATAAAGTAAATAAAAGTAAACTAACCGCCAAGATATTTAAAAAACTATATTATAAGAAAGTAAAAGGCGTAAATAAAAAAAAATAAAAGGCTGGTAAAACTAGGTAAATAGCCTAAAAATAGTTAATAACTAGTTATAAAAAATATAGTGTTTATAAATATATAAACTTTTACTTTATAAAAGTTAATTAATAATATAATTAATTATATGTTAAAAGTGGTTTTACCCTGTTTTATTAAAAAATAAAAAATTAAATAATAATATAAGTAAAAACTAAAAAAAATAAAAAAGTTTATTATAAAAAATAAGCTAGGTTAAATTATTTATAGCAGGAAGAGTAAGAGGCACAAGAGTAATATATTTAAAAAAAATACTAAAAAAAATTAAGAGGCAACCTAGATAATAATAGTAATTTATTACTAAATAATAATAATTAGTATAATAATAATAACAAGCATAACAGGAATTTTAATAAATATAAAAGTAAATAATATTACTTAAAAAATAAAAACAGGCAACCCTAGGATCCTAGATAAAGGGCTGCTAATATAAGATTTTTTTTAAATATACTTACTAAATATAGCTTTAAAAATATAGTAAATAAAAATAAATTTATATATTATTAATTAATATACTTATTTATAAAATATTTTTAGGTAATAATAAAAACAAGGTTTATATAATAGCTAGCATATAATATTAAAACATGTTTTAAAAAAAAAGCTTTAGGTTAGTATAATAGTAAACTAACTAATATAATATATTATAGTTTAGTTTATTTATAAAATATATTAAATTAATACATAGCCTTAAAAACTAGGTTTAAAATATTATTTAGCTAAGCTTGCAAGAGGCTTAATATAATATACTATACTTTAAATAATATATATAACCACGTGTTAGTAATATAGTATATTAATATAATATTATTACTTTTAAAATAATGTAAGAAGGGTATTACAAACTTTTTAATAGTTTTATAAGCTTAAAAAGGTCTAAATATTTTACTAAAAGTAATAATAAATAAACTATAAAAAAGATTTATAATAAAGTAATTTATAAAAATCCTAAAATAAAAGTAAACTAATTAATTTAATTAATTTTTAAAATATTTAATTACTAGTACTCCTCCTAAAGAACTAGTATAATTTAAAATAACCTTATTACTTTAAAACTTTAATTTAATTTATAACCCTTTTAAATAGTTTAAATAATACCTTACTAAGCATTAGTATAGCTAATCCTAAAAATATTTATTATATTACTTATAGTATAACTATCCCTAGGCACCTTAAATAACCTAATCCTCCTTATTTTTAAATACTTCCGCATAGTACTTTAACTAGTAATAAAACTTATAAAACACGTAAGATTATAATAATATATAAAAAGGTTTATAATTAATACCCTAGTAAAAAAGGTAAAAATAATATATATATATTAAGCCATAACCGCCCGTGAATAAATAATAATAAAGGCTATAAAACTAGTAAAAATATAAGTAACCTTAATAAGGTAAAAAATAATAATATTAAAAAGTATATTATAAAAAAGTTAAGGTTATAAAAAAGTTCCTAAATTAATATACTTATAATTATAATTAAAATTAGGCTTATGCGGAAGGTAAATTCCTAAGTTATAATTAAAATAGCTAAGTATATTATATAAAACAGGATTTTAGTCCGCACTATGTAAATAAAAAAAATATTTAATTAATATAGTTAACTATTAGTATTATTTTATAATATTAACTTTAAAAAACATGCTACACAAGCACTTGCTTAAGTATAAAGTAAAGGCTAAAAATACTTTATAAAAAAAAGGATATGCCCTACTAGTAATTTACTTTATAATATTTTTAGTAATAAAAATAGATTTAGGCATGTATTTTTACTTATAAAAATACTTTATTATACGCGTATATATTAGTAAATAAATTATAATAGTTTATTTAGATTTAAAATGCATGCTAATAATTATAAATAAAAAGTTTTTAAAAAAGTACATGCCTAAAATAAAGATTTAGAAGTATGCTTTAATACTTATTAAGGGTATAAAAAATAAATTTTTAAGTATTAAGTTTATAGTACTAGTGGTTAGGTTTCCCGTAATTTATAAAAGTAAAAAAAATTATATTAAAATTAATATAAAGGCTTATTTAATAAATAGCCTTGTAATAAATATACTTTTAAGTTTAAATATATTAAAAAAATATAAATTTTTGCTAAATTTTAATAAATATAAAGCTAGGATTACAGCATGTTTTAATATAATATTATAGTTAATAATAATATTAAAGCTAAATAAAATAAAGGCGCTAAAAATAGTTTTTATAAATAAAAAGATTATAATACTACTTAATTTACGCTAGGTAATTAATATACGCAAGTATATTAATTTACTAAAAAATAAGAATATTATTTTTAAACTAGTTTAGCAAGGTAAGTTATATTTATTTATACAAGCCTTTTAAAATATATATAATAAAATATAGGTAATAAATTAAAATACATGGCTAGTTATTATTTTATATCACACGTGTTTAAAAAATTTATATAAAATAAAGGATCCTAAGGCGTACTACGCGTTTATAGCTAATATTAAAAATAATAAAAAATAAATAAAAATAGCAAACCTAGCCATAATACGCCCATTAAACCAGGAATTATTAACTTTTAAATTAAAAAATAAGAATATAACAAAGTTAAAAAATAATATTATTATTTATAAAAAAAATAGGTAATATACTAGCTAAAGGCGGTTATAATAATATACCCCTTGGTATAAATAAATATAAATATAATTAATATACCAAAAAGTTACTAAATAAAAATTTACTT